ATAGTACTTGGACGATAATCGAAATCGTTGTATTTGAAAATATAAAATAAACTATCATGTAACCATATATGTATGTGCGTACATATGACTGTATTTGCTGAATAAAATTTTAAAAAAATTTTCAATTTGAAGTTTTGTGTTTATTTCCGATATTACAAAAAGAGATTACTTGCGGCTGGAGCGAAAACAGACACAATCGAGAAATCGTCCGACAAGGAGTCGTCAGACACGAGACGCACACCCACATTTTCGGTTACCTGAGCGAACACACACATACATATGATAATCAATTTTTCCTTTATTTTATAACAATTACTGCTAAATTGCCTAGTCACCGCCCGGAAAGTAGAGAGCTTAGTCTTTCAGTAGATTAGAGACATTTTATTGAGCAGTTGTTGTTTTTTTATATTCAGTAAACCTGTTGATAGAGTTATCAACAATGATGTGCATTTTATTGAAGGAGTTCTTCTTCCCGCATGATTTTGGAGACAAGCATTACCACGACCGTAACTTGAGAATTATTCCTTCTTAACTACATTATACATCATAGATAAGGGGTTCCACTTTAGACTTCACCGTCAATCACAATATCTTACGAAATTGGGAAACCCGAATCAACCCTATCGAGAGAACACACCGACTCCAACCGGTGAGTGGGAAGAAAGCCGGATGACCCGTAAGATTGGTATTAGTGGAGCTAGCGACTGAGAGAAGGTAAAGAAGAGACGAAGAAGATTAGTGTATGAGTTTTGATATGTGAGGGTGACACTAAGTTCTATTGAATTTCATACCCGAGACATAGCACTATAGAGCTGACCATCAGAGACACATTTGAATAATCTTCCAATTTTTATAATAACAATAATAATTAATTCAACAAATGTAGTATTTTTCCAATTAAATAATTGCTATGGTAATTTACCCACATGGGCTCTCCCAGCTATAAATAGGAGCAGGTACTACCTTTTGGAGAGGGGAGTTTCCAGCAGTCAGCTCTGACAGTCGGACCGAACATTCTTGCTGTAACAATCTCGTTTGTATCACTGTTTTTGTTAATACATTTGCTTAACTCAATTCCTCTCTTTGTGTCTTTATTTCTGGCCCTAACAAGGCCACAACAATAATTCAGTGCAGTTTTTTCGAGAATTTAATTAAACAGATTATTTTGACTTATTTAAATAATTCCATGGAAATTTTTCAGACTCCGTTCGACTAATTTGTAGTAATGTCAAATAGCAGACGACAACAATGCTTATTATGAACATTGTAGATGTTTTAATTTTCTGTGTTTTGACAACACATATAAATTCTTCGTGTACTAACACAATGGATTTAAAAATAAAACTTTATCAACAGAAACATTTTAAGAAATTTTCAATGCAGCATAAATTCATGACACACGCATCTGCAATTTTTGGAATGGTACCAAAATTAACTTATATAATTTATAATATCGGATTTTACATTGGGTATTAATTACAGGATATTAATTGTACGTTTCTATCTATAATCCCTTTGTGTCTACAGTCCAAATTTTGATAGTTAACATTACTGAGTTAAATACATTTTACTCTTCTTCTATGTGCTGTTTCCCTTCAGTACATTGCTGATCATAGCTCTCCACAATTTCTTTTTTTTTGCTCGTATTTAAAATGTTGTCCTTCCTTTTATTATCTCTCCTAAACCTTGTTCCGCTATCCATTTACACAATCTCGCAAGATGCGTTGTTTTCTTCTGTCTCCTTCAATATGTCCTGTGATTGTCAAATTCTCCAACCTCTCTGCCTTAGAAATTACAACTATCTCTTTCTGATGCTAAATGTTAATGTCCTTTTTGTTTCCATCGTCTCTAAAACTTCGTCGTTCCTCACTTGTTCCGTCCATGGAATTCTCAGCATACTTCGGTAGGACTATAGTTCTATTTGCTCGAGTCTCTTCTTCATCTGTGAGAAGATTGTCTAGCATTCGCTGCCGTAGAGGAGGACTGATATTGCATAACAGTTCAGTACCCCTTTCTTTGTTTCTAGTGACATTTTCCTGTTTATTTTCTCTCGTTATAACATTTGAAGCATTACGTGTATCGTAGGCAAGAACAAGCAAGTTGGTATCAAAGTTCTTTTATTTAACAAAGAATATCACGATATTTTACAATATTTTATTACAGTCCCCTTTATTCTAACACGGATTGAAATATTTTTTTAAAAGTCGTATGTTTTCAACAGAAAAAGGTTTAAATACTATTCAGAAGAAACGTGTTCAAAAGAATATCTTTGAAAAATACTAAAATCTTATTGAGGCCTGAAACTGTATGTAGATATACAGATAGATATATACAGATGTTGTCGGTTCACGCATGCGCCATATGTCCCAAAAGAAAATGTTATCCTTTTTTTAATACTAACAAATGTTCACATATACTAAGTTCAGCTTAGTACAGCACAAAACGAATAAAAGAAAAAAGTACATATGAAGATTATATTGCGCCAATTTTCTCACTAAAGATAGTCCGCCTGACTTGAAAATCAGCATTCGAAATTTTCACCGGTATGCAACTATCTCTCCACCCAAATTAGCTAAAAATATTTTCTGAAATTAAATTTAATATTTTTAGGTTTCTAGATATTTACAAAAATTAGCTTGATACGAAGAGAAAATGACAGGAGAAAAATTCAAGCAGGCGGCCTATTTTCGTTCGTAAACTGACGCAACACAGTCTACTTGCTCTTATTATCTCTCATCTGATCTTGTGTTGCACTAATTTGAGATTAGTAACCAATTTTATAGAGTTGCACTAAATTGGTTAGCAGAAAAACAATTCTTTCTTATTTACATGAAGCGGCATCTGAAAGCATTTGACTTTTTTTCATTTTCTTTCTTTTAGTCACGTCTCTTTTTTTAGTAACGCCTAAATTTGGATTTTTCTCTTCACTTCAATATTTCTTCTTTCTTTTTCACTTTCTTTCTTTCATTTATTTTCTGTTGTTTTTTTTCTTATCGTCCTTTCTTTATTAATCTCTTTTTCTTTCCTTTCTTACTAATTATCCATTCTTTTAAATCATTTCCAAATTTATTTATTTATTTCAAATCTATTGCATGTCTTCCTTTGTTTTAGTAATATTTTTTTCTTTCTTTCAGTTTCTTTTTTTCATTTCAAATCTATTTTCCATTTTCTATGTTCAAATATTTCTTTCCTTCAAATCCATTCCATTTTTATCACCTTTCTTTTAACCTTTCCTTCTCTTATATAACTTTCATACTTTCTTACTTTTTTCTTTCTTTCTTTCTTTCTTTCTTTCTTTCTTTCTTTTTTCTTTCTTTCTTTCTTTCTTTCTTTTTTCTTTCTTTCTTTCTTTCTTTTAAATCTATTTTACCAGTTTTTAAAATATTTCTTTCTCTCATATAACTTCTTTCTTTCTTTGTTTCAAATACATCACATTTCCATTTTCTTGTAAACGTTCTTTATCTCATAAAAATTTATTTCTTTCATTCTTTCTTGTTTTCTTTCTTTCTTTCTTTCTTTTAAATCTATTCCCGTTTTACCAGTTTTTAAAATATTTCTTTCTCTCATATAACTTCGTTCTTTCTTTCTTTATTTCACATACATTACATTTCCCATTTTCTTCTAAATTTTCTTTCTCTCATAAAAATTCTTTTTTTTCATTCTTTCTTTCTTTCATTCTTTCTTTCATTCTTTCTTTCTTTCTTTCTTTCAGACCTATTCCCTTTTCTCTACTTTTCTTCTAAACTTTCTTTCTTCTATATAATTTTCTTCATTTTTCTGTGTTTTCTTTTTCCAATATAACTTTCTTTCTTTTTTCTTTCTTTCTTTTTCAATCTTATTCACTTCCCCAACTTTCCTTCTAATCTTCCTTTCTCCCATATAATGTTCTTTCTTACCTTCATACTTTCTTTCTTTCAAACCTATTCACTTTTTCAATTTTTTTTTTGTAATTTTTTTCTCTTATAACTTTCTTTCTTTCTTTCTTTCTTTCTTTCTTTCTTTCTTTCTTTCTTTCTTTCTTTCAAATCTTTTCCCTTTTCTCTTCATTTCTTCTAATCTTTCTTTCTTCCATATAGCTTTCTTTCTGTTCTTTCTTCCTTTCTTTGTCTTTCTTTCAATTCCATTTTTCTTCTAATCTTTCTTCCTCTCATATAACTTTTCTTTCTTTTTTCTTTCTTTCTTTCTTTCTTTCTTTCTTTCAAGCCTATTCCCTTTTCTCTACTTTTCTTCTAATCTTTTTTTCTTCCATATAATTTCTTTTTTCTGTGCTTTCGTTTTCCAATATAACTTTCTTTCTTTTTCTTTCTTTTTTCTTTCTTTCAATTCTATTCACTTTTCTCAACTTCCCTTTCTAATCTTCATTTCATATAACGTTCTTTCTTTCTTTCTTTCTTTCTTTCTTTCTTTCTTTCTTTCTTCCAAACCTATTCCCTTTCTAGACTTTTCTTCTAATCTTCTTTTCTCCTATATAACTTTTCCTTCTGTTCTTTTTCTTCTACATATATATAACTTTCTTTCATTCATTTTTTTTTCTTTCTCTCAATTCTATCCCCTATTTTCCTTCTAATCTTTTTCTCCCATATAAGTTTCTTTCTTCTTTAATCTTTCTTTGTTTGTTTCTGTTCCAACCAAACAGGATTACTTTATACTTGTTTGTTTTAATCAGTTCCATACTCCACACCCATATAGACTTAGTGTCAGTCTTTCGCTTCTCATAAACAAACATCTATCTTTTTTGCTTTTATTCTATTCTCTTTATTTCTTCTTTCTTTATTTTCTTTTCTTTTTTCTCTTCTTGCCACAATCTGTTTTTTCTCTTATATTTTTTTCTCTTTTTTTCACCCAAATGTATTTCGCTTCCTGAATGATTTTTTCCTCGTTACTATTTGACGATATAAACAAAATGAACAACTCTTGAATATCCAAGACTTGTAATTCTAAATTACTTTCTTTGGGTGATAGGTTGAGTGGACTTTTCAGACTTAGCTTTTCATCCGTTGTCAAGGTGAATGCTTGGGAAACAAAGACGTCCTCCGCGACATTAGATTGGCTCGATGGGACAAGCGTCGTGAACTGTGATCTGCAATGAAAGAAGAACGAAAGGCAAACACATTAAATGGTCCTGTGAATTGCTTAGCACAAAATAAAATATGATGTCATTTATGACAGTGAATGCTGGACAAGTTCCCCACGGGTGAAAGAGAAACCTGAGGCAACAGATAAGTAATTCAGAAGAAAACTGAAAACACTATGAACAGAGCATCCATTTCTGTACTTACCTTCTCATCTTTCTTTCTTCCATATAACTTTCTTTCTATTCATTCATTCTTTCTTTCTTTAATTTCTCTCTACCATCGATCTTCTTTTTCTCTCTTTCTTCGTTCCTTTCATATCATATCTTGTTTCTCAGCTTCTTCTACTACTCCTTTAGCTTGTTTATTGCGTTTTCTTTCTCTCTTTCAAATCCACTCCATTTCCCCCCTTTTGCGCTAAGCTTACATAACTTCTTTCTTTCACCGAGGACGTTTTAAATCAAATAGAAACAAAAAGGACATACTTACAATCAGAAAGAGACTGTTGATATTTCTGAGATACATAATGAGGAAAGAGGGGCTTGGAGAATTTGACACTCACAGGACTTATTGAAAGCCAGAGTAACAGAAGAAAACACGAAGTAACCTATCTAAGAATCTTGTGAGACAGAACAGGTTGTAGGAAGAATACTAAAAAAGTAAAAAAACGTAGCTGAGATTATTCTTATAAAGATATATATATATATATATATACACAAATGTTCTCGGTGCAAGCATGAGCCATATGTCCCAAAAGAAAATGCTAACCTTTTTATATTACTAACAAATGTTCACATTTACTAAGTTATTACGTAACATCAAAAAGAGATAGTCGAACTTTCTAGGGAACAAATGAGAAAAGTGGGCTTGGAGAATTCAATAAACCAGAAAAATGAATATCCATCCAGATCGACCGTAGTCTGGTTCATGGAGCCAATGCAAACAATCCTCCTTTTTTTTTAGCTGTATAGTATGTTACGCCAGGACTACACACAGTTTTGAATTCAGTGTTACTTTCTCCTAGACTGGTTGCCTCCCAAGATTATAGAACATAGTCTGTCCTACCATTTTCCCATAGCTGGGTCTGGGGAAGAAAAAGAGGAGTCATACTATTCAAGGGTATTATCACGTAAGTGAATCTAATGGAATCGACTGGAATTCAAACTCGGCTCTGTGATTCCTCAATCCGAGCCGCTATACACAGTGCGTCATACACATATCGCTGTATCCTAATATCAAAATGTTTTTGTTCATCATTTTAGCTTGAAATTAAAATCAAGTACTGTTTTTCTATAGACGGTGATATTACGGATGCCCCCCCCAAAAAAAATAAAAAGAGAAGAAATGATTTTATCTCGATCTTGAGTGTTTCTGTTTGATGGACCAACGGATGGCTCCTCTTGAAATTCGGTCTTCTCGGCGGCACCCACTTTAACCGAGAGGAGATGGGAAGTAAAGATATTTTCGGGGATCAAGTGACAACAGAACCGGTTTATCTCCACAGTCATGCTTGGGATTAGAGAGAGTTCCGGCCCGCACCCCCTTGGCAGAAGACGAACGTGTTCGTCGCACAGTTCCGAAGCTTCCATTTTTAGTATTGCCATCCACTACATCGGGATGATTAGATAGGCGTAGAGTTAATAGGGGTGGAGAGCTGACATAGCAGAAATTATCCCAAGTATCACCTAAGTACCCCCTCACCCAGACGATCAAGCACACCCCTGAATAAACACCTACATATATTAGGAAACAGGGTTCGCGTTCTTATTTCCCAACGTGTCTTTTTTCTATCGTCGTGTTTCCTTGTGAGCATGCATCGATCTCTTTCCCAGCTTTCGGCGCCGACGTGATCGAGGATTGAAATGCAACGTAGAGTGATCATTGGCCGGTCGGTCGGCGGAAAGGTCGCGTTTTATGTTTACAAGACTACAAGTCATTATCAATAAATGTCTATTTAAAACAACATGTAATTTATCAGGCAAATGCGTCCAGACGAACACAGAATCTTACGGCAATAGATCTGCCACTATAGGGTGGCCTGGGAAATTTCTAGGGTTAGGTTCTTCTGAAATACTTCATAATCCTTCCGTATCATGTGAGAGAGCTGATGGATTGTTCGGTGACGGTTGTCATGGATGAGTTTATGAATTGGTTTCACATAGTCTCCTGTTTTGCTAGTGATTGGTCACTCTCAACGCCCATCGTCTTTAACCGACACTCGACCGGTCTTGAAACGCGTGTGCTACTTAAGAGAATTTTTGTTTGAACTAAAGATTCCGAGGAAGGATTTTCAGGTATTTTTGTAGCAAATTTATCGAGCTTCATACAAAACCTGATGCAGACAAGTTGCTCAAAGTTTACAGACATCGTAAACTCACAGAGCTGTTCCAACACACGCTTACAAAGCCTTCAGTATTAAAACATGTATAAATACATTTTAATGTCATGGCTTTTCAGAACATAGACGATTATGACCCTCTACAGCTTCTTTTTCTTCAATACGTGTGAGTTCTCTATCAGATTTTTCGAGCTTCACGCAGTTTTGCTTACAATAAAATCACGTTGAAAACACGTTCTTGTCCTATCATTGAAGTTAAGCAATGTCGAGATCGATCAGTACATCGAAGCGGGGCGCTTGAAAACACCAGTTACTGTAAATAACTTCCTACAATCTGGAATAAATAGCCCACAAAGGATTGATAAGCCGTAAAAACAAAATCAATCAGTCGAAAAAGCAGTTTGGTGCGGACACGTTGCTCGGATTCGTTAGCCATCGCAAAGTTCACAGAGCTGTTTCAACACACGTTTGTAATGCCTCTTGTAATAAAATTTGTATAAATACTTCTTTAATGTCATGTTTCTTAAGAACATAAGTGTTTATGACCTCTCTACACCTTTTTTTTTTCTTCAATATGTGTGATCTGTATATCAGATTTGTCGAGCTTACGCTCAAATTACGCTGAAAACATATGTTCTCGTTCACTGAAGTTAAGCAGTTTCGTGCCTGGTGAGTACTTAGATAGGAAACCCCTTGGAGACACCACTTACCGTAACTGACTTCCTACAATCCGAAATAAGTTTCGGCTTTAAATAACACACAAAGAGTTAATAAGCCGTAAAAAAACAAAATCAAGCAAGCAAGGATAGGTTTGATGCAAACATGTTGCTCGAATTTGTCAGTCATCGTAAAGCTCACAGAACCGTTCCAACACACACTTACAAAAACATGAGTAATAAATGAACACGAATAATACGTTTAGTCCAAGAACATTCCGATATTCCTTCTCACTTCTATATAATAAATGCGAATATCAGTGTGTCACTGTGCCACACTTTTTCTATTAAAGGGACAAAACTCTCTAACTTTCAATAGCTCATCTTCTCTATAATAAATACGAATGTCAGTGTGTCATTGTCTCACACTTTTTCAACTTTACTCCTAGAGGTCGTAGCGCAACATATTATATCATTTTGGGACTCAGGCCGACTCCGTGAGTAAATTAGGAACATTCCGGACCGGATCCAGACCCCCAAGCCTGAAATTTTGGATTCATTGCTGCGATTGTTTTCGGCGATTTTTGTACGTGATTTTTTACGACGAATTTGTTTGTGCGATAACAATTTTTATAACCTGAAAATAAATTTAGGAATAATCGAAATTAATTACGAAATCCAGTGAAAGTCACCCATGAAATAAAAATAATTGTTTGTACGGAAATTAAGGACCTACTTACATCAAATTGTCTTTAAATTAAGTGGCGGAAGAAGAATTATCGTTGTACTTTTAAGAGGTAAGATTAAATATTAATGCAATACTTAAATGCAGCGATCAATTTTGAGTTCTTCTGGAGTTTATTGTTGTCTATCGCATACGGCAGCAGTATTCCTTTCAAAAAGAAATCTTCGCCAACGGATGATCAGATTGCAAGCAAAAGAGCCAAGGCTGCAGCGAGGAAAAGAAAGTCCAGTTCAAATGAAAACCCAGATAAAACGTTAGCCAGGAGATCTTCCAATGCTGAGAATATGCAAAGACTTAGGAACTCTCAAGCTCCTGATCAAACCAAAGTCCCAATCAAAAGCTCTCTGCAGGAGTTAGGTTAAAATAAGTGGCGGCTGAAGAATTATCGTTGAACTTTTAAAAGGTAAGCTTAAATATTAATGCAATACTTAAATGCAGCGATCAATTTTGCGTTCGTCTTATCGCACCTACTCCTCCCTACCTATTGTGATGAAGGCCCAATCCAGAGCCCTCTACAGGAGCTAGCTTTAATGCCACCCAATAAGGCGATTTTTAAGCTAGTCTACAAATAAATGGCGGAATCATTCTTCTTTAACTTACCTTGATGAGGAGTTTGTTCTGTTGGTAAGGGATGGATACTGTTTCTTTTTCCCAGGTTAATTTTTGCGATTCTTTTCTCAGGTTGTGTTGTGTCTGCATCCGCACCAACTTCGTCGATGTAGACCACACTGATACCCATCTCCTGGTTGGATTCTAAACACATGAAATATAAAAGATAATATTTTAATTAAGAAGACACATGAATCATGATATTTTATTGATTCGTTTCTGTGTTTATTTCACTGATAATATTGCATCGATTGCAAACGAATAAAAAAAATAAATAAAAAATAATTTATTACTGGGAAAATCCGACATGGAAAATGAATTAAGCTAATACACAAAAATAGAGAGAGTAGTAAATCAAATATTTTTTTCTCACCGGATTTATTCAACTTATACAGCTAGGCAATCCTAAGAGATCTATGAGTCCTAACAGGATTTATTATTAATGTGCACCATCATAACAATATGAGAGTTGCAGATGATACGATGTTGATGACAGACACAAAAAAGAAAACTGCAGGAACACTTAGATAATGTAATAAAAAAACTGAGAACAAATAAATAACCATCATTTGTACGGTCATTAGCAAAAGGTAACGCTCAAGATGCAAGTTACAAATTGGGGACGTCAGAAACGAGCAAATACAGAAATTTAACTGTAGGTATTTAACTATAAGGGTGAGAATAGGAGCATTACGATGTGGTGTAGTGGGTAGCAAGCTTGTCTTACCATCTCAATTGCTACTGAATTGTGAGTTCGATCCTCGCAAGGAACTCAATACTTTCTATCGCGCCTAAGCTTCGCTTAAAAAATGTTTTAATAGGCAACGGAAATTGTGAGATAGAAATCCGAAAATACGCAATAATAGAAATTGCCGTAAATCAAGGATGCTTTTTCTCACCGGATTTATTCAACCTATAGTTAGGCAATCTAGAAGTCCTACCGGGATTTATTTTTAAAGTACACTGTCTAACAATATTTGAGACGCCGATGATACGGTGCTGATGGAAGGTACAAAAAGAAAACTGCAAGAACTTTTTAAGCGTTTCACCCCAAGCAAAGCAGTAATGCCACTAGAAGTCAAGGGAGTGAAACTGAGGGGGAATAATATTGGGTACTAGGAGGATTGAAGAAAGGACAAAAACCAGAGTTCAAGAAAACAGAAGATGGCGATGACGTTGCATTTAAATTTTTGAACATTGTGGTTATCAGGGAAGCAAGAAATCGAGAGAGAAAAAAGCTCATCATAGCAGGTGGGAAGTGCGAGACAAAAAAAAAAAACCTTTTGATGTAGAAATATCAGTTACATCTACCTAGTTCAACATTAAAACGGTGAGACCTAATTGCCAATCGAGTAGCACGCTTAAATTCATGCAATCGGGGCACCAGGAAAAAAAAGCTCATCAGAAGAGTTTCCGTGAAAATATTTGTAGAAAGGAGAGAGTGAAGCCATGTCATGTCGGTGAGAAAGTGGCTGATGTCGAGACGTCTGGTCAGGATCGATTGCATCACAGACCCTTTTTTGGATCTTGTCAAGAATCACGAAATGTGCAGAAGGAGCACAAGACTAGATATAGCAACAGTATTCAATGCACGGACGAATGATAGATTTATAAATGTGCTAGATGGATTCTGATGAAAAAGATTATTCTAGCACGACACAGTGAATCAACGTTCCTAGCAGTAGATGCAGCTATTGATTCGATATAGTCTCTCTACTTCATGTCAGTGGAAAACGTGAAGCCAAGACCTTTAGATAATGTACTGAAAGAAACTGAGAATAAATAAATAACGATCAATTGTATGGTCATTAACAAAAGAGACAGCTCAAGATGCGAGCTGCAGACTGGGGACGTCAGAATGAAGCAAATACAGAAATTTAACTAAAAGAATTTTGAAGGGAGCACTCCGACATGGTGTAAGGGTTAGCCAGCTTGTCTATCAATTGATAGTGAGTTCGATCCTCGCTAACTTCTTCATACTTTCTGCCTTGTGACTTTGGTTCGATTAAAATTTTTAATGGGTTGCATTAAAGTTTTTAATGGGTTACATTAAAGTTTTTAATGGGTTACATTAAAGTTTTTTATTGAAAATGTGACATAGAAATCCTAATGCGCACTTAATTTTGCTTCTTTTTTTTTGGTGGGGATGAATCGGCTTTGTGGATTATCAAAGCCGAAACGCATTTTCAATTGTAAGAATAATTTTTAGTTTTTAATTTTTTTTTATTTTTTTATTTTTTAGAGAGTGAACATTGCGTAAGATTTTTTTATAATAGTATTGATTTTTTTTCCAGATACAAGTCCTATTATTTAACTCATAGCTGAATGGTGGGAGCGATGGATTCATACTTTTCCCAAGGATATTTGAGCGTATGTGAATGTAATGGAACCGATTGAAATTCGAACTCGGCTCTCAGATTTCTTATTCCGAGCCGCTATCTTTTACACCATCCGCGCATCCGCACATTAGAATAGTGTTGAAACTTGACTAATGCATGGAATAATAATGCAACACAAAATGTACTTAGCACAAAATGTATTGAAACAAGAAAGTGTACACAATATTTACATATAGTCTTTTGTATATTCCTGGTAAGACCGTTACTGGAGAATGTGTTGACTGAGTCGCAGTCGGGCAGAGTCTCTGGTTGAATCTCTTGATTCCCCCCCCCTCTTCCCAGTACCAACCATATTTATATGGTCGGTACTCCACTATGCAAATTAGGTGGATCTTACCACAACAAATAGAAAAAAAGAAACCTTCGAAAAGATGAACAAAGGGACTTGAACATTTCGTTAGAAACAAAGAAAATAGTGCTGAACTTCTATGCAATATCATCCTATATGGCAGTGAACGCCGGGCAGTCTCCTCACAGATGTAGAAGGGACCTGAAACAACAGAAATGGGGTTCTACAAAAGGATGCTGAGAATATTGTAAGCAATAAGGAAGTTTTAAGGAAAAAGGAAACAAAATAAATCAGAAAAAGTCAGTTACTTCGAAGTGAACACTAGGCTGCGATTTGAACTCGGTCTGCTGGCTCCATTTTCTGAGTTGATAGCTGTTATGCGACACATTTAGACTTGACGACTGTTATGCATGCATCTAGCAAACATTTGAACATGAAATGAACTTTGGCGTAAAGATCTGTCATTTGATATAAAAACACTTGATATAAAACAATATATTTTATATTGTGACACTGGAAATTCAGGGTGTTAATGAAACAAAAAAAGGAAAGAAATAAAAAGATGAGGAAAGACACTACTAAGTGGGTGATAAATGTTGAAATTCGCAGGGAGGTGGATTGAAAAGTTGAGAAGAAAATTAAAAACGAAATACATTGAAAAATCATGTTTCAAAATAATAAAATAAAATCCCGAGCAGTTCTCCCGAGGAGAATCGAACCCAAATTTAAGTAGGTGGAATTCAGTAAATTAGAGTAAAGCCGAGAAGAAAGACGATAAATGTATGTCGGTCTTGGAAAATAGAAAATAACGTTGTCGATAAAATAAAAAAAAAACACGGGTGGTCACAGAAAAAACATCTAAAATTGTTCTTGACAAAAAGCGAGGAAAATCACGTGGAAAAAATATACCTACCAAAATAGAGATTAGCACCTAAGATCGGGGACGGGATCTTTTATTTTAATTTCTGTGACATTCGTCAAAATTTTTATGGCGGATATTATCTTCGATTCCTTTAGATACAAGTGATAATGAAAAATTAATCACTAGTCCCAGAGTGACCACAGGCGACCGGTTGTATGGCCTGGTCGATCAAGAAATCACCTAAAAACAACTAGTATGAGACAAGCTGATAAAAGAGGATTAATGACTGGAAATCCTCTTTTCGTCTACGCATACTAAAAGTTTAGTTTTATCACAAATACAAAGTGTACTAGCCATTGGAGTAGACTGAGGTTCGATGCTGAGAAAGTGGGAGCGATGGTGCTAGATGACACGCAAAGGGAGTTGGAGTTAAGGGGACGGCTTGATTCTTCTGACCACTCTCAAAAAGGGGCTGGACAACCCCTAAATTTGGAAAATTACCCGAGTAAACATATTCTGAAAATATGGGATTTTAGAAAAAGGTTAATGTTAAGAGTGGAAGACAACCAAACTCCAGACCCACACACCTGCCGGACGCAGGACTCCATATAAACTTGAGGTTTGGACAGCTTGAAAGATCCCCACATTACTACTGTTGAAATCCACATCGTTCGCAGAGGCTTCCTGATTAAAACTTTGTTCCGGCCCTGAAGACCAGCACTTACTAATTTAAATTACTATTAATACAGGCTCTAAACTCCAAAGGGGTCCCAGTGTCATTTGATTATAACAGTAATTGGGAAGGGTTAAAATTGCTGTATACAACAAATCATATATAAACCAAATCGTTGTTCCATTTTAACCCGTATTAATTCTTTATTTCAAAGAATTCTTTTTTGTGTAGCTCATCGCCGTCAACCACTTCTTTCCTTCAGTTTACTTTATCAATGATCGTCTCACCCTCTGAGATCAAAGACACAACATGGAAGAGGAGTGAAGGATTGTGAAGGAGATAAAAGCCAGCAAGATCGGGTGGAACCGTGCTTATCAACACGATACCAGCGACAAACCAGCAACGCATTAACGAGTAAATTGTCAGCTAGATGGTAACCACAATGGTCTCAAGAAATCTGAAGGCCAACACGTGGGACGTGGGTTGCAACATAGCGTCTTCTTCTGAACTCTGAAATTTTATTTATTATTTATTTATTTCCTCAATAGAAGTAAATAGGTTCGCCTATTGTCCGATTTACACTTCTTCCCAGACTTTTGTACAGGAGTATAGGTTTATCCCTAGATTCCTGTTTTAGTATTGGGTTTCCAGTTCCTTCTAAAATCTTCTTATTCTCTTTTACTCCCAGTAACCTCTTTCATTTGGGTGACATTACCGTCTTGAATGAACTCGAAGACCTCCAGAACTCAGCGGACAACTTCTGTCACTATCAACGTGGCAAAGACCGAACCTGGAGAATGTTAGTCTCCATTCTTTGATAGCGTACTAACATCAAAAGCATACGCTGCAAAATGGTGTCGATAAACGAATCAAGGCAACCCACGCAGCATAATAAAAGCTTTTCAAAAGAGTCTTCGGTAATTCTGGGCTAACGCAAACCACCAAGCTCATGCTCTATAGAGCTGTTGTAATCTCGACTCTCCTGTACGCCTGCGAGACTTGCGTACTCTAGCGAACCTTTGTCAAATCCTGCGGAATACGTGGCAGGGCCGGATCACAAACAACGAAGTTCTCCTCCGCGCAAAGATGGAGAATCATGACTCGACACCGATTTCGATGGGCCAGACACCTTCCCCGAATGCCAGACATCGACCTATCCAAACAAAAATCTTCTTCTCAGGGGACGCGTCTAGTAAGAGACCACTTGTTGTCAAATCAAGGATCAGCTCAAAAACACCTTGCCGAAGATAGAGGCTGCAGACAGAATCAGTTGAACAAAAGCAGTCCACGAAAAAACAACATCCTTCGAAAACACAAGGCAAATAGAAGAGACGAAGAAAGCCCGAAGAAAAGCCAGATCTCTCCATCCTCTGAACCAGTGGCTGTGAACGTCTCTTCAGATCCAACATAGGACTCCTTTTACACAGAAATAAATATTGATAAGTGTTCTGATCGATTGATAAATTGATCGGTCATGCCTGAGGGAGGTCAAAGATCATAGTGGGTGCGATAAAAACAAGAAAGATAGAAGTTGCGTTTTGGGGCGTTAAAATTTACAAGCCTTTTCTTTTCCCCAATCTATATAATGAAAGGAGAGCTTATTCGGCATTCGTCACACACTGCATGATGTGAATTATACGTGTCTGTATAATTCTTTAATTGGATTTATTTTAATCTTATTACTATGAACGCGGGTACGAAGTTCTCCTCCGCAAAGATGGAGAGTCTAGAAACCATTATGACTCGCCACCGTCTTCGACGCCTTTCCCGAATGCAAGACATCTGCTAATCCAAACAAATCCTCTTCTCAGATCTCGCATATATAGAAGATGAGCTATTGAAAGTTAGAGAGTTTTATCCCTTTAATTGAAAAAGTGTTGCACAGTGACGCACTGACATTCACATTTATTATATAGAAGAGAGAGGGAATATCGGAATGTTCTTGGACTAAACGTATTATTCGTGCTCACTTATTACGCATGGTTATGTAAGTGTGTGTTGGAACGGTTCTGTGAGTTTTACGATTGCTGACAAATTCGAGCAACATGTCTGCATCAAACCTATCCTTGCTTGCTTGATTTTGGGTTTTTGTTACGGCTTATTAACTCTTTGTGGATTATTTAAAGCCGAAACTTATTTCAGATTATAGGAAGTCACTTACGGTAACTGGTGTTTCCAAGGGGTTCCCTATCCAAGTACTGAGAAGGAGCCCCACGTCGCCGATTCATGAATCAGCTAAAAACACCTTGTTGGGGACAGAAATCGATCCGCTCAATTGGGAGACGGAAGTTGCTGAAAGAACCAATTGGAGAAGTGAAGAGCAGTCTACAATATAAAACATCCTTTGAAAACACCAGAAGACAAATTGAAGAGAGGAAAAGAGCCTAAAGAAAAGCCAAAGATCTCCACCCACTGAAACCTCCTACCCTATCATGCGGTGGCTATGGATGTTTCTTCAGATCCAACAAAGGACTCATTTGAAGGAAATGTCGATGAGCACCCCAATACTCGACAACGAGTCCTACCAAAGATGGCAACGTCTTTCTTGACGTGAATTGATTAAAAAAAAAGAAATACGGTTAATATAAAACAGATATTTAAAGAAATGCATTATTTACGAGCATTTGCTAACATATATAAAACCCAGTATGAAACAATCACTTTACACGCACGTGGATTAGTGTAACTGTCTGAACTGCCAATAGCGCTATCGTCACTGTTCTTGCCCGTCAGAGACACCGAACTGCTATTTATCATAGAACTGATTCGCCGTTTTTCGGATGACATCAGAGCACTTTCGCGGTCGTCCTCAATCGAATGCAGATCCTTGAGTGCGTCTGCAGCTCCAACCAGAACCTTTTTGCATTTTTTCGGCAGTTTGAGTTTTGCCTGCGCATGTGAATAATACAACGTGAAGTTGTTAACAATTATAGGTACAGGCAATGCCAGCATGAGCACGCCACACAGAGAACACACACCGCCCACAACACGGCCCAACAAAGTGCTGGGGACGATCTTTCCATAGCCGAGGGTCGTGATGGTGACCAAGGCCCACCAAAAGCCGATGGGGATGTTATAGAATTCGTTGTCGCTCGTCTCGCCGATCTGTTGAGCATAGTAAACGAGGCTAGCAAAGATAGTGATGCCCATGAAGACGACGACGATAAGTAAGAAGAGCTCTTTGGCGCTGGCACGGACCGTCAGCGCCAGGATGCGGATGCCGGTCACGTGACGGGTGAGTCGCAGAATGCGGAAGATGCGAACGAGTCGCAGCATGTTGACGTAGAAGCGCGCGTCACCGCTGTTCCACTGAAACACCCTGAGAATGAGGCGCATGTAGAACGGAATGAGGGAGAGCAAGTCGATCCAATTGATTGGCTCCTGGAAAAAGTGCCTCAGGTTCGGACAGAAGAGCAAGCGAAGCAAGAGCTCCAGGCTGAAGTAGGTGATGCAGGTGTCTTCCAATACGACAAACAAGCGAATTGGTTCGCTCCTCATTGTCTTCTGGCGAATCGTCAGCGTCTTGTTGTTCAGCAACGGGGTTCGGAAATCTTCAACCGATTCCAGAGTGAAGGACATTATAGAGATGATCACAAAAAACACCGAGACGCCTTCCATAATCTGAAGAAAAGAAAGCAAGAAAGATAAACATAAATTATTTCCAATTTGAAGAACGTCTACAGCTGAAAAGCTTCCTGACCTGTTACGGTAAGGTAGACTTAATGTGAGAAATTTACAGAATAATACAGGCTGTTTCAAAAAATTTGATATCATTTCGCAATCTAATAACTTTGTTAGATCTCCTTCAAATGACTTCAAATTTTAATAGCATCTATATGTTTAATGTTTGTTTTATGTTTTTATGTCTTTATATTTTTTCTTATTTGTATTTTTATGTTCTTTAATCTTTAATCTTTTTTCTTTACAGGTATAAAAAATGCTATTTACTAGAAGAAAAGGCGTTTTGTGTGTTCACATAATCCACATGCTTTTGAATTTCTCATTCAGATTTGGAAGAATAAATCTTATGATCAACATTAATACTTTTTAATTTCATTTGCCTTAATCATGTACTTTCTGTGATATTTACATCTCAAAGGATATCAAATTTTTTGAAACACCCTGTATATCTAAATAATAAATGGATAAACAAAATGGCGGTGAAGGCAAAAGGTAAATAAGTAATAACTAAATAGATTAAAAATAAGTATTTTAATAATTAATGATATTTATGTAAATAAAGTCGCTAGCGTAAATAAGTTGTAAGTAAATAAATAAAAAATAAATATTTTAATAATAAATAAAATTTACGTAAATAAATAAATAAAAAAGATGGCGTTAAAATCGTTAGTGTAAATAACTTGTAAATAAATAAATAAGAAATAAATATTTTTAATAATAAATAAAATTTACGTAAATAAAATACAAAATGGCGTTTAAATCGTTAATGTAAGTTGTAAAAAAATGAATAAAAAATAAATATTTTTAATAATAAATAAAATTTACGTAAATAAAAACAAAATGGCGTTAAAATCGTTAATGTAAATAAGTTGTAAATAAATGATTAAAAATAAATATTTTTAATAATAAATAAAATTTGCGTAAATAAACAAGATGGAATTAAAATCGTTAGTACAAATAAGTTGTAAATAAACAAATAAAAAAGAATATTTTTAATAATAAATAAAATTTACGTAAATATAAAAATAAATACGTAAATAAATAAAGATGGCGTTAAAATCGTTAGTGTAAATAAGTTGTAAGTAAATAAATAACAAACAAGTATTTTAATAAATAAAATTTATGTAAATAAATAAACAAGATAAGATTATCACTATAAATAAGTACTAAGTAAGTAAGTAAAGAAAGAAAGAAAGAAAAAAGAAAGATATTTTCCAAGTCATCAGTAAATCAATATACAAGATGGCCGCAGAGTCATCAGAGAAGAAAAAAAAGAATATAGCTATATGGCTTATTTGAATAATATCTACGAGTGAAATTGCCGTGACATCATTCTAAAGGCGCGGTCACATTACGACCAACTTCCAAAGATAATTGATAAGCGTTCAAATCTGGTCGGATTATTTAGCGTAGCATTAGCCCGTGCGAAAGCGTGGGTGGGGTTGAAGTGAAGCATGGGGCAAAACAGTCTAGACAAACACTTATGCAAGGTATAAAACTAACTGAATAGGTAGATGGAAGAAAAGAAGTCTGTCTGTCTGTCTGTCTGTCCCTCTCTCTCTCTCTCTCTCTCTCTCTCTCTCTCTCTCTCTCTCTCTATTCGTTGCATGAACTGGCCTAAACACGCGTTTCGTATGGGCGACATACTACTTCTGAGACCCTCTGACCCTTTTGACCCCAGTTTCTGCCGCCCGCCCGCATTGATTCTCTGTCGCTGTCCCTGTTTCTCAGAATATCTAACAGTACGAGTTTCTTCTTCTTCTTCTTCTTCTTCTTCTTCTTCTTCTTCTTCTTCTTCTTCTTCTATATAGTAATATTTATACATTTAATTATATTTATATATAGTAATATTTCTGTTTTCTAATTCTTCCACACCCATTCAATCATTGTGTCTTAGTGGCTTTACTGCCTTACTTGGGGCCAACTCGATTAAAAAATAAAAAATATACCGTGTCTCTTCAGGATTTCCTGTCCTATGTAAAGTTTGTCATTTTGCTTTCTCTCCTAATCCCTGTTCTTCCAACCATTTACACCAGTTTGTTAGACAGCTTATTCGTGGCTCTCCTCTGTCTCTCTTGTCTTCAATATATCCTGTAAGTGTCAAATTCTCCAAGCCATCTTTCCTCATTATGTGTCTTGGAAACCACCAACCGCCTTTTTTGATTCTAAATATAAGTGTCATTTTTGTTTCCATTTTCACTAAAACTTCCTATTTACTCACATGTTTAGCCAATGGAATTCTCACCATCCTTCTGTAGGATCATATATCTGTTGCCCGAAATCTCTTCTTCATCTGTGATTAGATTAATCAGCATTAACTGCCAAATAGAATGACCGATATTATATAACAGTTCAGTACTCTTTTCTTTGTTTCTAACCAAGGTTCTTAATAGTCAACTTTTGAAAGGCACTTTTCGTTATCACAATGCGTATTCGGACTTCGCTGTCGAATTTTCTGTCCTCTGTTAAAACACTTCCTAGATATTTAAATGTCTGTAATTGCTTGATTTTCGTATTTCCAATTTGTAGTTCGCATCTTGGCCCATTTCTTTTTTTTCTGACAACCATACATCCCGTCTTCTTACAGTCCTGGATATGACGATAAACTACATCCGGCAGCAAGGAATCTGATCGGGAAATTGGATATTTCGAGAAGCGTGGAATCACCCCTTAATTGTTGCTGTTTCCGGGTCCACCCTGACTCGGGGAGGTAGCACTTGTTAGGGTCCCAGATATTGCCAAATAGTAACCCCCACCCCCACCCAAAACAAAACGCTATGAAAACGTACCTAAGAACAGTAATGGACATGTCCCAACCCTCATAAGTACGTTGGACACTACTGTAGGTGGGAGTAATATGCTGTCTAAGTAGTCCACCACTAGCAGTGGTTTACCTACTTCACGCCGCTGGCGAGTATTGTATTTTGTTGATGTTATAAAAATGACCATTTCATTTTCAACCTCCGTCTTGTTTATTCCTCATTTAATAACCCTTTCTAGGTTATAACAAAAGTATAAAAATATATATTTATAGTAAAATGACCAGCAATAGTTTTTTATCTGTAGTTGAAGACATGTTCAAGATATTTAGATTTCAGCATTAAATAACCCATAGAGGTTGATATGCCGCTAAAGAAAATCACTCAAATAAAAAAACAACCATCTTCTTATAGTTGATGTTTAGTCTTTTTTCTTACTTTTTTTTCTATTTTCTTTTGGTGTTTCCTTTCTGTGTCTTCTGTCAGCACTGTGATCTGCATAATTTACGTTGTTAAGATTGTTGCCGCCAATATAAAAACTTTGAAGGACTTCTAATTCTCTCAGAATCGCCTAACTGTAACAGCTGAATAAGTCCGGTGAGAAGACACCTCCTTGTCTTACGCTCTTTTATAATTTTGTGCATTTGCAGAATTCATTTTTCTCTCCGTATGCAGGCGGCTTACTCCCTGTATAAGTTCAGGATTGTTCTAATATCTTTCCCAAATAAATCAAGCTAACCTATAGTCTTGCGTGCCGTACCATATAAAACGTTTTAGCATTATCTATAAAACATAGGTAGACATCCTTCTGCATTTGTATTGATCTTTCTATTATTCTGGAGATAGAAATCGTTGTTCTACTGCCTTTGACGAAATCGCACTGTTCTTGCCCTATTTCCGGTTTAATTCTACTACGCGCTATATCCATCAGAATTTGAATGATAAGTTTCGTAATACTGCTCATTCGGCAAATTACCCGATGAACTTCGCTTGTACCTAGCTTCTTAGATGGCGCTATGAAAAGGGTTCTACCTATGTCTTCCAGTATTTCACCACTATCGTATATATCATTTATAATTCCTGTAACCTTTTTCAATGCCGAAATCGTCTAATCCTGTCATGATACAATTTCCACCAGCTCCTTTTTAACTTGTTCAGTAGGTATTTCATTTCACACGTCTATATTTCTGGTTTCTTCCATATTTTTGTGAATTGCAGGTCATCCGCTTTCGTCGTGGAAGATTTCTCTCAGTATGTTGATTCATATTCGGGGGTTCGGAAATAATTACATTTTACCAGAAATTATGTAAAAAAAATGTAAATTAAATTTATTAAAATATTATTTATCAAAAACTAGCAGTAGAGCCCGACGTTGCCCGGGGATGTAACAGTAAGAGATAGATCAAGTATCGACTATCATAAAGACTGAAAAATAAAATTGACAAAGATTATTGTTTAAGGTTGACGGACACGCATGTCTTAATTAGTTTTTTGTTTTGTTTTGTTTTATTTTTGTTTTTGTTTCTTTTACGAATTGGTCAAACTCAAACAAAAACATTGTTTTCAATCGTTATGAGTCTACCGATTGAATAGAATTTTATTATAAACAATTGTCTTGTAAATGGAATTTTTAAAGCATTCTGAATGTAAAAATAAAGAAAAAAAAGCGTGCAAGACAATAAGAAACAATACCTGCCAAAAAAAAGTGAAGTTTTGTTGAAATAGGTTGAAAAATGTAGGAAATCTGATCCCATATATAAACGAACACACACACACACAAACAACCTGGGTTTTATAATAACTATAACTCGATATGAGTTGTCCCCCTTTCATTCTTGCGATACCTCTTAATCGTGTTTTCAAATTGATTTCGTGCAAAAACAATTGTGTTTTTCCTCATTTTGGCGCTGTCAGAACCACCGCAAGGTAATTTTACCCAGTCCTGTGAAGTTTTGTTGAAATCGGTTGAAAAATGTAGGAAATCCGATCCAATATATAAACGTACAGACACACACACACACACACACACACACAATCTGGGTTTTATAATAAGTATGCTGTAATGACCTTCATTTTCGTCCACTTTTTAAAAAAATTAAGTTTTCCTCCAGAAGATGTTTGAAAAACTGTTTTCCGCTTCCTGTTTTTTTTTTCTTTTTGTTTTTTTCTAAATGTTCTGCCACTTATGAATCGTTCCAGTGATCAAAACAAATAAAAAAAAACTTTAGGCACTAAAGTTTGGCGCGCATGGAGAGTGCAGAAGAACCTCCCATACCAGCGATCTTATTTTTTTCTATGCTTTGTTTTGTAGAGTGTCCTCTTGAATTTTCATGCTAGAGAATAACACCACTTCTGCTTACCACAGTCAGACATTTTCAATATAATGCTTCGTTTACAGGATCAAGTTGCCAACACTATCTCTACTATTTTTCCCAATAAGTCTTGGCAATACACGAATAATAGATTGAATGAATGATTCGCTTTCTGTTATATACCATACCTACGAACACTAATGTGTATGACCCAGTCCTCATAAATACGTTGGATACTATTGCAAGTGGGGATAAAATGCTGTCTAAGTAGTCCACCACTAGCAGTTGTTTACCTACTTCACGCGGCTGACGAGTATTGTAGTCTGTTGATGTTATAAAGATCGCCATTTCGTTTCTGGTACGGTGGAGTAATGGATAGCGGCTCGGATCGAGGAAATCGAAGAGCGGAGTTCGAATTCCAGTCCAATCTATTCCATTCACTTACGTGCTGATACCCATGACATTTCTCTAATTTGTATTTATTTTCTAGTTGAATTGTTCATTTATATTGCATATGATCTATTATTGTTACAATAAAATGTGTATTTTATATTAATACTACCTTATAAATATTGAGATGTGCTAGAGTGGGGACCCCGTATCATTGATTCGGGTGGAGACATTTGAACCAGCCCTGCTGCTATCAATATATTATGAGTAATAAAATTTCGGTGCCCATATATATATATATATATATATATATATATATATATATTAAGACATTTTTATGTTTATACATTATTTTTATAGATAAACAGTATTAACAACATTTACCGGCCTGAATGTCCGAGAAATCTTCATAGAAACATAAAAATGTCTTAAAATAATTGTCGGACTTTGTCCATTTCATAATGTGTGACGTCATTTGTTTACATTTTGGATACGCCTCGAGTAGATATGAATGTACGTGAGAGAATCATGGAAGATTGTAGTTTAAAGACTGTAAAATCGACCTTGCTAACTGAACGCTCCTCTGTGGCGCAATCGGTTAAGGCACGTCATATGACGGTTCCGTATAGGATACGGGTTCGATTCCTGTCGGAAGACGAATATTTTCTATGAAGATTTCTCGGACATTCAGGCCGGTAAATGTTTATTATAAACAGAACATTTACTTAAATATTTGTATCTGTAAAAAAAGAATGTATAAACATAATAATGTCTTAAATAAGTGTCGGACTTTGTTCATTTCATAATATATATATATATATATATATATACATACACTACAGTTCAAATGTTTGAAGTCACCGCCAGAATTATAGAATTCCAAAAGAATGGAATCAATTATTAAACTTATATTTTCAGAAATCTTTGCAACGAATGCCCAGAATTTGTGCTGCAGTAATCAAGGATAAAGTAAGATATTTTGAGGAGAAAATTTA